CCTTTTTTTGTGGCATGGTGATGACCCCTCAATACGATCGAAACACCTTGCGGAGGCGTCGTCGTTTCGGAGGCCAGACCTTTTAGGCCGTGAAGTGGTCAGAATGAGAGCGTCGTTAAGAACTGTAACTTTATATACGTTCATGGTTATACCGGTGATTACTGTATTATAATCAGTAAAATGTTATTTTCAACATAAACAACGTATCTCCTTGGTTTGTGTCAGTATCATTACGCATGTTGTGTACGTGGTTTTTTAAAGTGTGAGGGTGTTGTTTTTGTGCCCAGTATGGATATTTTGCAACTTCCGAATTATATTCTTCAGCGTAGCATATCTTTGTTTGGGCTCTTACCTGCCGCCGCTGCTTGCTGGTGGAAAATGCGACGTGGTCGAGCGGTGCGAGTGTGTGTGTTGTGCGTGTTGTGAGGGGTGCGTCGGCTCCTGCCTTTTTGCTGTTCGGTTGTTTGTTCCGCTTTGCTTTACAGGTGCGTCTGGCCGCCCCGCGTGTCGGCTCGTGTAGCGGGCGGCAGGTGGTGGTGTGGGGGGTGGCAGGCCGCCGTGGAGTTGGAGGGGGGGGCTGGGGGGGCTGGGGGGGCTGTTGAATTTGTCATAGCCTGACGACTGGCCAGCTGGGCCGATGCGCTCCTGTGTGTGTCCAGGGGCGCGCGTGTACACACACAGAACAGGCCGCACCCTCAGATTAATCTCGTGTGTGTGTGTGTGTGTTTGTGTGCCCGTGGAGTGCCCTCTCCGTGAACACGCACGCAGCCGCGTCGTGCGTGCCTTTTCGCAACAGGCGTGGTGGGTGCTCGACATGTCGTTACGGTCGCCTTCTTCGGCCCGTCGTTCGTCTGCGTCCGCAGCGTATGATGACCACGACGCCGTGCCGCGCACATCGGGTACAACACTCCATAGAACTTTACATTATGCACTGCCCCGCGTGTGGCATGCCATTTTGCGTCTAGCGTCCTGTGGACTGCGATCAAAACCACGTGCGACTTTGTGGTCTGGGGTATTCAATTATTATGTTGTCTCAAAATATCATGAGGGACAAAAATCAGAAAAAAAAATTGAGGGATTTTTCTTGATTTTACACCGCGAAATACGTTTCTGGAAAATCAAAATCCTTATTTTGTACACAGTCCCCGGCGGCATAGCAGCAGGGTAAATGAGTCGTCGGGCAGCGCGGGGGGTTGGAATCAAGTCGTCGCCGGCGTGGATTGAATCAGACTGGCAGGCGCCTGCGGCCGCCCCCAGCGTCTGACCGATTTGTCAGCGTCGATAGCGGGCGGCGCTGGAATTAGTCACTGCCTCGTATAGCGGGTGGCCGTGCGGCCAGCGCGACGCGACGCGCGGGGTCAAGCCTACTGACTGCACGTGTCGCGTTCCGAGCTGACGAAACCAGCTGACGAGCTGACGATATACCAGTAGCGCCGACAAGCGAGCTGCCCCGCCCCGTTCGTTTGTATGGGAACGAGAATGTCGGTGCGAAGTCCACGGCTCCCAATCAGCGAGCGCCGCTGCTTCTCGCCGAACTTCCCACACGGTCATAGGTGGCATGCGCTGCAAAGACTATCGATGGCAACGCTGCGATTCTGTAGCCTTCTCTCTCTGTCTCTCTCTGTCCTTCGCTCTCTGCGCCCCTCCCTCCCACGGCCCGCAGCCATTGTCTGTACTCGAGCGCTGCTTGGCTTCCCATCTCCTTCTTTCCTTTCAGCGATATCTCGATCACACTCACTTGGCGATCACAAACAAGACTCACTGCTGCGTGCGGGTCGCGCGGCCGTGAGTATGAGAAAGTTTGGCGCCTGGAGCCCCCGCGCCCGCCATCTCCTTTCCGTTTGTTTGTCCGTCTCCTAGAAGCAGTTTGTTTTGGAAGCGTTGGGCCCCCGCGCCGTGCGTGCTCGCGTGATGTGGGACTGCGGGCGCACGTCACCTCCCCCGAGCCTCATCGCGCGGACCGTTCGACAAGTCTCTCCCGGATGTAAAGATCCGCACTCAGTACTATAGTCGAAAACTGTAGTTAAACTGTAGTTAAACTAAAGTTTAATTGTAGGTTTCTATAGTTTAACTGCATTTTTTTCGGACGTAGGGCCAGAAAGCGGGAAAAACTGCAGATTAACTACAGTTTTACTGCTATGATGAAATTACTGGAGTTCTGACTGCAGTTCGTCTTCAGATCCTTCCACCCGGGCTCTCTGTCTCTGTCTCTCTCTCTCTCTGTCTCTGTCTCTGTCTGTCTCTCTCTCTCTGTCTCTCTCTCTCTGTCCAACAGCGACATGCAGAGGGCGTGACGGGCGCATGTCACTTATTGGGGCCCCGTATTATTGAGCTGGGCAGCCGAAATGAGTCTCGTCGCTCTACAAGAAAGAGGAAGAGAGAGGCCAAAGCGTCGGTGGGCGAGGACGAATAGAGAGCGGAAACGGGAGAACGGGAAAAGAGGGGGGCGGGGGAGCGGGTGCTAATGTGGCCTAAGCGATATACCCGGCTCTACTTACTTATCCAGTACGCCCCTGTGTGTGGGTGCGCGCGCGCTGCGGGTGCGGAGGGAGAGAGAGAGAGAGACAGAGAGAGATGATTATCGCACGCTATACGCACTGCGTGACGTGGCTTGCCACTCCGTGGTTGTGCGCTGCTGGCGGCGCGGCGCCATCTTGTTCTTGGGTCTCTAATCTGCATAGCGCTCTGGTTGACGCCCCGCCCATGCGGGCTCTTTCTCTCTCTCTCTCTCTCTCCCGGCGCGTCGCGGTGTTGATGTGTGTACGTACGCGCCTCGCGCCCAGTGACTCCGGGGCACGCCACCCGTTCATAAAGTAGCCAGCGCGCGCCCCCCCGCTGCGTTTGAGCTGCATTAAAAATGAGCCCGCGACTATGCTGGAAAACATCCGTTTCTTTTCCTTCTGAAGTTTCCGTTTTTCTTTTTTGGTTCATATATTATTTCTATCGCTCCTGCAATTATTTCCAAATTTTTGGCTCGTCGTTGTTTTCAACGAAAAATTAATAGCTTGTAGGATGCACTTGCCATCATTGAGATTGCAGAAAGTGCAAGATGATGGGGTTGTATATGGTCACGCTTTGTGACTGCAGTGAGGTGAGATTGTTGGGTTGCACCCGCAGCCGGACACCTTACCGACACCTTGCGCACCAACCACCGGGACTACTGGGACCCGTAATTATAAAACCGCGCAACCGACTTATTAAATTACGACACTTATCAAGTATTTGGATTAATCGGGTGCAGCCCGGGTTGTTTTTAATTACTGACGGGTAGCCACTCGCCCCTCTATAGTGGGGGCGGGGCTACGGGCGGCAGGGGCTGTCCACGGGGATGCCTGGGAAGTTTTTTTTTTTTTTTTTTTTTTTTTTTTTTTTTTTTAAGAAAAGGTTACTCACATTTTTAATTTTTGTTTCGATTTTGTCACGACGTGTAATTTGCTCTGTGATGGAAACCAACGCAGAAGCAGTGAGGAATGTCGATCTGGTAGACTTGATTTTGACGCACTACCAACTCACCTGATCGTTGTCATTGCGTCGTCATTCCACTTGCTTTCTATCGCGCCCGTTCTGTCTGTTTTTCCACCGAGTACTGATGATGGGGTTGCGGCGCGTACACAGGTGGCGGTGCTTTGCAGGTGACGTGCGTACGAATGGACTTAGCACGCGTTTCCCACATTTTGGCGTGCCCTGCGCCAATTTATTATTATGAACACAGCAGCGCGGCCCGCGCGCTCGCCGCTGCCGCAGCATCGACCGCCGAAAGTATCGGGTGAAGAATGGCTCCTAGTAGCACCTGGGTAGGAAGGGAAGGGGTTTTGATATTAATGACCCCTCTACTGGTCGACCCCCAAGGCCTGCTTCACCTGCCGGCGTGGGGAGAGAGGGTGGAGAGGTCCCTAGCGCCAGGCGGAGGGGTCGGCGAGTTCGGTCGACCCACTTTGCGAAATTGTTATTTTCGCCTTATTGCCGATCGGTGAGAGTCTCATTCGTATACAAGCGATCAAATGAAACCCGGTTTATTCGACGGAGTTGATGATGATGATAATTTTTCAATTAAATTTCGGCGGCCGCGTTATTCGCAGAGAGCACGATATCGCTTCCGGTCGCGCGCCGCGCCGGGGCAGCTTGTTCCGGCCGTGTCGGCGCGCGAAATTTCAATAACCAGCGGGAGGCGTGGAGCTGCTGCTTGCGCTGGCTGGTCTGTTGGCCGGACCGGGCGCGCCGGGCGGCGGCGTTAGGCTGTGAGAACATTTTGACAGTTGGTCGGCCTGTCGGCGAGTTCGCAGACCGAGCGCTTGTATCACTATATACTCGCCGGCGCGCACGCACACACGAGCGCTCGCAAACGAGTGTGAGCTCTTTGCGTGCGGATAAGCTACACAGGCCCCCCGCGGTTTTCGCGCTGCCACGCCACGCCACTGCTGTTGTGTTGGCAGCATTGTGTCATCAGCTGGTCTCGAATAGTTTTTTCAGTAATGTTTTTCGAAAATTTGCAGTCCCATTGCTTACCTTCAGAAAGAAATTTGCCCTTTTTTTAAAGCATTTAAACTGATTCTTTACTCTCCAATTTTTTTTATTTCCTTGCCTCAATAATAATTACACCCTGTTGACCCCGAGACATCTAAAGTGCATGGAGTGAAGAGAGATGGGGGAGAGAGGGGAGCGGGGGAGACACTCCCGTCACGGTGTTGTGCCCCCATGGGCGAGGGGAGAGGGGAGGACCGCGCAGTCAGCGGAGCGTCACCCAAAGCAACATGGAGGTTAACGCGAGGGTACCTCTCGTGGCTACCCTGGAGTACCCTTCTGAGTACATCACAGCTCCGCCTACATACACTGCCAAAACACCTTTTCCCATGAAAATGTTTGAGTTAACTCAACTTTCTATTTAGGTATCTCCTGGAAATTCAAATTCAGTTGTTGACATTTTGGTTTCCTAAATATTTGTCAACTTGTTGGAGTTGTAGCCTGCTTTGTTTGACAATTTGTTTGACGTTTTGTTGCAGACGCATGTTCCCCACGCTACGAGTCTCCTTCACCGGGGTACGGCCCGAGCAGCGCTACGCCGTGCTCATGGACATCGTGCCCGTGGACCACAAGCGCTACCGGTACGCCTACCACCGCTCGAGCTGGCTCGTGGCCGGCAAGGCGGACCCGCCCGCGCCCAACCGCCTCTACGCGCACCCGGACTCGCCCTTCAGCGGCGAGCAGCTCCGGAAGCAGGTCGTCTCCTTCGAGAAGGTCAAACTCACCAACAACGAGATGGACAAGAACGGACAGGTACGCCAGCACTTCTGTATTAGTTGATATTTCGCCTTGACTGTTTTTCATGCCTATGAATCTCGGACGAGGCCAAAGTACGAGTATCTCGTCCTACTTTTCATAGTTCTGTGCCTATGGTCCATTCACTGGCCAATCAGTCATTCATT